GTGGTGGTGGTGGTGGCTCTAGCACAGTCCCTGGAAACTACTGATTCATCTCCGAAACACACACATTTATTTTGGGTGGTGAGGGGGTACGTGACATGTGCCACAGCAGATGTCAGAGGACAACTGTCAGGAGTCAGTTCTTTCCAGCATGCGGGCCCTAGGAATTAACTCTGGTCCTCAGGCTTGGCAGCAAGCACCTTTACCTTCAGAGCGATCTTTGCCCCCCCCCCCTTTTTTTTGTTTGTTTTGGTTCTATGTTCAGCTAGCGGCTATGGTTGTGCTTGCTGGTAGGACATGCTAAAGAGGCAGAGGCAGGAGAATGAAGAGCAATGCTCTTCCTGAATTGCTCAGACTGGCCCGGAGTTTGCTATGCAGCCCAAGCTAGCCCTGAACTTGTGCAATTCCTGTCTCAGCCTCCCAAGTAAGTAGGATTACGGGCCTGTGACACCACAACCCACTCTCGTCTTTCTTTTATTGGTATCCTCTCGAGGTGTTTTGTTTTTGAGACACAGCCTCATGTGGCCCAGGCTGGCCTTTACTTGCAATGTACCCCAGGATAGCCTTCAAATTCTGGTCCTCCTGCCTCCAACTCCCCAGTGCCGGGTTTCTGTCTTTCTCACACACACTTTTTTCTTTTGTCTATTTACCTGCTTGTTTTAGGAGCGCTTCTCTATCTCATTTCTTTATTTTAACTGTATATTTATTTACTTTGTTTTAGGGGTGCGGGGCTGGAACCCAGGGCTTCCCGGGGCGATTCGGGTGCTTTGCCGCAGAGCTACTGCGCACCTCTTTGGCCGGGAAGAAGGGAAGCCCAATTACAATGGACCTCAAGCTCGGCACCGGCTACGAGGAACCTCTCTCCAGACCGAAGTAGCCACGCCCTTGCCGCATCCCGGCGGAGGGATTCTGTGCACAGACACGCGCCACACGGGACTCGCGCTCTGATTGGCTGGCGAGAGACTGGCCCCACATCAGCCCAGATCGCGACGCCCCAAAGGGCCGGACCGAACGGCAGCCAATCACAAGGCACTTCGGTGCGTGGGCTGTGCCTCTCAGCCAATCCAAAAGGGAATCTCGAAAAGGGTGTGCCCAATAAGAGTTAGGCGGGGGGCGGGGCCTCCGGAGACCAGGTTGGGTGCGGCCGTCACCATGACAACCTGACAGCCGGGAGAGTCCGGAAACTTGGGAATTCTGGACCGTAGCCCTGAGTGGACGCCCGGGATCCTGGGAAAATGCTTTTTTAACTGAGGAACTTTTTTGCTTCACCGTATTTGCTTTATATAAGAAAAAAAAATTTCCGTACAATATATTTTTATCTCGTTTCCCTTCCTCACCAAAATGCTTATTTTAATTTAAAAAAATTATTGAGACACAAGGTCTCATGCAACCCAAGCTGGCCTGAAATTCGATAGGTAGCCGAGGCTGGCCTTGAACTCCTGATCCTCCTGCCTGTATCTTCCACGGGTTGGGATGGAGGCATGTCTCACCTCCAGTATGCCTAGGTGAGCTCTGTGCCAGCTGACCTGCATCCCCACACCAAAAAGGTTTTAGACGTCTGCATGCTGCACTGAGACAGGGGTAGGCCCATGCATGGGGGCCCTGGGGATCCTAGGGGACCCACCCAGCCCAGTGCTTTACATAAAGGTCCGGGGGACAGTGTACAGGGGCTGCAGCCCAGTGGGTGGGTCACATGAGCAGAGGACTGCTTCCTATGCGACAGGGTGAAGTGACACTGGGACTCTGTAAAGTATGAATGGCAGCCTTTACCCACCGTCTCCTCCGCGGGGCACTTTGTTAAACAAAGGCAGGGCCCCTTAAGTGGACCCAAGTGAAAGCAGGTGCCCTGGCTTTCTCCCTCCCCATCCCAGCTGGTCCAAACAACTGTCTTGACTTGACACAAAAATAGAACTGAAGGGCATGAGATCTTGTTTAATAATTGCCAAGAACAGAGTATGTCTCTAGAGTCAGTCTCCTCCATACAGTGAGTTCAAAGCCAGCCTTGGCGACTTAGTGAGACCTTAGCAAAAAAATAAATAAATACAACCAACAAAAAGCCCCGCATGCCACGCTTTGTCCTGGAACGAAAAAGGAAAGGGTGGAATTTTGTCCTGCCTCCAGGAAGATGGTGTGAATGAGAGCCATTGGCAGCCAGTTTCAGGAGGACCAGCCACTGTTTGCTAAGGCTGATTTCATCCTCCAGGAGTCTAGGCTTTCTCCTTTATTGACAGTCAATCCCTTATCAGAGTCTTGTACAAGCTCAGCAGGGGGAACTGAGGAAGACACAAGGGGCCCTCTGCAGCTATCCAGAGCAGCAGAGTGACCACCTCCGTGGCCAGCCTGACCTGGAAACCCATTACTCAAGCACCTATCCCTTCACCTACCCACACCTTCCCCAAGCAGGCAAAAATACCGGAAGCATTCCACCCACACCAGGCAATGTTTTCCAGCCCTGTGGCCCATGTCCAGCCAGGACTGACTGGCCTTGGGGATAGTTTGACTCTTGTTATCGTGAGCTATCACAGGATGGAGACATAGATTCTGAAACAAGTATAGATGTCTTGTGGGGATGAACAACTGTTCCAAATTCTGGGAGTCAGACTGCTGGGGATAATTTCAGGCAGTGGGCCCTTCAGCACTAGTGACTTAGAAGGCTGGAATAGGTGAAGAGATACTTTTTCTGGTCTGATAGTTCCCCCTCCTTTGAGTGCCCCAGGCTCGGGCTGGGCCAGCTCATACTAGGCAAACCATTTGGAAGCTAGAGGCTTAAGGCCTGAGGGCCACAGGGTAGAGGCTATGACTGTGGACTTTACCCACAAACTTAGTAACTTTCATTGTCCTCTTCTGGTAGCAGGAGGCACTGGCAGCAAGGGTGTGTGTGTGTGTGTGTGTGTGTGTGTGTGTGTGTGTGTGTGTGTGTATGTGTGCAGGAGGTGGTGCCTTTCAAGAGCCTGAAGTTCCAGCCCCTTAGCTCTTGACAGCAACAAATGTCACGTGTAGAGAGTCTGAGATGGTAAGAGGGAGCCACTTCTCCCTGGGCCCCTAGGCAGGTGTCAAACAATTAAAGAATCGCATTAAATCATTATTGTGGTGGTGGTGGTGGCACATGCTTTTAATTACAGCACTCAGAAGGCTGAGTTTGAGGCCAAAGCCAAGGCTACATCGTGAGATCCTGTCTCAAAAAATAAAGATCACCATTATTGTCAATGGAAAGTTATCTATAAGCACCCCTGACACTCATTTTGTTTGTTTATTCTTTGACGGTTGCATGCACACGTATATAATGTATTTTTATTATGTTCACTTCCCACACACATGTTGGTAAGCAGGTGGGTATGTGTGTGTCATCATCCACGTGTGGAGGTCAGAAGACAAACTTAGGGGAGTCAGTTCTCTCCACCATGTGAGGCTTGGGGGTAGCAAACTCAGGTCGTCAGCTTGGTGGCAGGCACCTTTACCTGCTGAGCCATCTCACTGCCCCCCCCATTTTATTTTATTTTTCTCAAATACAGGGTCTCACATAACTCAAGGATATATGGAGGAAAGAAGCCAGAAAATAAGAGACTGTAGGCTCTGGTGACTGGAAGTGTTGCAGAGAGCAGTCAAGCCTTCAAGGCCAAGGGCGTGACCATAGGATCTAAACTTGTAATGCTGCAACTTGTATTTTGAGGCAGATGCTAAGAGCTAAGAATTCCAACTTCCCATAGGGAAGATGGAATGATGGCTGCTGGGAAGAGCTGCAGAATCTTCGTATCTGATAGGCCTGAAATATAAAGGCCAGTACACCCAGGCTGCAAAATCTCAACTGCCTAAACCCACACTAGCCTTGGAGCACAGGCTGGGTTAAGGGTACTGAAACTGAGCCCTGCAACGCTAGAGGGCACCACCTGCCTGCTGAAGCCCAAAACTGGCAGAGAATTGGCTCTGGTTTCCCCCACTACCCACCGCAGCCACTACCCCATCCCAGGATTTCTAGCCACCAGAAGTTTGGCCCTTAATGCTTAATAGCTTCCAGAATACTTCCAGCAACAAGGTCCCAAGTGTGTTGTCTTCGCTCCTGTGGTTTCTACCCTGACATCTGTCTGCACCTCTTCAGTAGCACTTTTCTTGCTATTGCTGCTGTCTGTACATGAGCAAATGCAGGCAGACACACACTCACACTGGCTGTGGTGGCACATACCTTTAATTCCAGCTCTCAGGAGGCAGAGGCAGGTGCCTGCCTGGGACAGGTGCCTGGCAGGGACTGCCTGGTCTACAGAGTGAGTTCTGCAATGGTCAGGTGACATATTCAGATCCTGTTTCAAAAATAAAAATACATAAAAATAAAAATGATGGGGCTGGAGAGATGGCTCAGTGGTTTAGAGCACTGGCTGCTCTTGCAGAGGACCTGGGTTTGCTTCCCAGTACCCATAATGGAGGCATCTGTAACTTCAATTCTAGGGCCTCTGACCCCTTCTTCGGGCCTCAAAGGGCACCAGGGAAAACACAAGGTACACAGATTCACGCAGGCAAAGCAGTCATACACACAAAATTAAAATATGAAAACATGAAAGTGACTCTCTAATTAGGGGAGTACCCATGGGTGCCTCACAAAAGTGAAGAAATCCACGCAAGAGTCCAAACAACAAAATTACAGTAAACATTTATTAAGCCATAATGTTCACAATGTTTTCATCCAGTTCTGAAGTCGATCTACAAAGATCTCTAACATCAAAGCCAGTGATTAATAAATAACAGGAATGTATCCATTACTTTGCAAAAAATTAATAAGCCTTTTTCTATATAAGATATTCGTAGAATCAGCTTCCCAACTAAGGTATGCGCAAGTGCGCGTGTGCACGCTCCCCACTTTGTTCACACAGAATGGCTTTCTATCAAACTAAACACTATATAAAATTTCTAAGCCAAGACACAAAACAGGAACTCGGACATTATTGGTTTAAAAAAAAAAAAAAAGAATATAATTTGCAGCTAAGAACAGGGAAATAATTATCTCATGGGGGATTTAACTGCACACTAATCACCATCACAAGAAATTAATTTAATTACAGGATATTCAGAGATTTATCACAGTTGCAGACAGAAAACTGACACAACAGCAAAAAGCTTGAAATCTGCAGAGACACTGGGGCAGGGAGTCAATCATGCCATCAGCTGCCACAGCTGTCCGGGTGACAAGGTGTGCTTCCTGTGCCACCAAGACAGAACAGGTTCTCCATGTCCGTCCTAGCTAGAGGGTTATCACCAAAGAGCAAAACACAGAAGGATGCCAGTCAGGGCATTAGCAGTTGTCTAGTGATAAGGATATTGGGGTTAAAACGAATACATATATATATATTCAATATGAATATACATACATACATACATATATATATATGTATGTGTGTATATTCATTCACAGGTAAGGGGCCCAAAGCCCAATTACTTAAATGGTCATAAACAAAACCATTGAGGAATGGGCACAGGTTGTTTTGAAAAGAAGCTTGCATGCTAGAGGAAGAGCTCACGAGCCCAGGACCTGAAAGTTAAAAGGTTGGGAAAGGCGCCCAGGGAATTCCTTGTAGCTATAGGTGCACACCAGGAGAACCAGCACTGGCTTTCTGGTTAAATTAGGTAATTCAAAACCTGCTGGGAGGCTGGGTGTGGTAGTGCACACCTTTAATCCCAGCACTTGGGGGGCAGAAGCAGATGTGTTCTGTGAGTTTAAGGCCAGCCTGGGCCAGCTTGGGTAGGTGAGACCCTGTAGCCTCTGCATTACAGAGCTTACTGACTCTTGAGCAAAAATTGAGTTGTTTGCTGAGACAGGGTCTCGCCTTGTAGACCAGGATGGCTTTGAGCTCACCACCTTCCTGTCCATCTCCCAAGTTCTGGGATTGTAACCACGCCTGAGTTCCTGGTCATGCTATTTACAGCCATCTTCGAGCAGTAACCAGAGCTACGCACACCAGCCCGGCCCTCATGGGTATGCCAAGGCCAGCTCCCAACCACAGGCTGCCCCTGGAGGTTCTCAGGGAGTACCTAGGAAAGACGTGGCCACTTCCCCTGACGGTCATAAAAGGCTACCCTCAGCTCTGCTTATAACCCCTGTGGTCTGCTGGGCCTCATTTTCAGGTTGCCTCTCGGGACTGCCCCTGGGTCACTTTTATGAACAGAGGACCCCATTATGATTCACAAGGCCATATTCTTTTCCATACTTTATTGCCAGTAAAAAGAAAACCAGGGCTCAACGAAGGCCCCAAAGGGCTGAAGATGCTGGTGGCAATGGAAAGTCCATCTGGGAAAGGTGCCTGTGTGCTACACCAACAAGGGAAGAAATCACTCCATAAACACCGACCACAAGCTGGGACTGGGCTGATTTGGTAGAGTGCTTATGCAGCATGGTGGAGGCCCTGGGTTCCATCCAGTCACTACTTAGCCAGGTGTGGTGGCACCTGTCTTTAATCCTAGAGTGGTGTGGAGGCAGGACCAGGAGTTCAAGGTCATTTTCGGCCACACAGCCTGTTTAAGACCAGCCAGGGCTACAAGAGAACCCATCTCAAAACAATAGGGTTGGAGAGATTGCTCGTGGTTAGGGCTCCGGCTGTTCTTCCAGCGGACCAAGGTTTCATTTCCAGCATCCACAGGGCAGCTGACAACTGTCAGTAACTCTAATTCCAGGGGATGTAACACCCTCCTCTCGCCTCTGCAGGCACCAGGCATGTACATGGTACACAGACATACAAGCAGACAAAACACCCATACACATAAAATTTTCAAAATAAAAGGTCACCATCGAAAATCACCAACCCCAACACGCCCACCTAGACCCAGTACTTCAGAGATAGCCAATACAACCTCAAGCCTGTCCTTGGAAAAGTATTTAACATGAGGAAGAACCCTCGGGGGAATTAACACTGGTTTTAAGACAGTTAAAATCCTAACCCTGTCTTTTCATTTAAAAACATTATATATATATATGGATTTATTTAGGGAAAGGGGTAGCAAGCCATGGTCCATGTGCAGAGGTCAGAGGAAAATCTGTGAGAGTGGTCTGCCTCCCTTCAACATGTGGGTCCCAGGCATTAAACTCTGGCTTAGTAGCAAGTACCTTTACCCACTGATCCACATCAATGGCCCCTGACCCTTATATATAACAGATCCACAGTAGCTGCCGTCATAATGTTTCTTTATCATGTTATTCAGTTGAGGAGATGTACACAGCCCTGAAATAAGGCATGAAATAAGGTACAAAAATACATCTTTCCACATACAAAAGAGATGGTGGGAGAGGGAGGTCAATAAGCTGCATACTTCCACAGAACACAGAGAGGAAAAGATGTGTTAGGGACACATGCAAACAAGAGGGGCAGCTGTGCACACCTATAATCCCAGCACTCAGGAGGCAGAAGCAGGCGGATTTCTGTGAGTTCCAGGGCAGCCCTGACTACAAAGCAAGTCTAGGCTACACAAAGAAACCCTGTCTTAAACCAAAAACAAAACAAAACAAAACAAAAAAATGACCACCACCACCACAAAAAATAAAAAAGAATATCCACCCAAACAATGACAGGCATGGTGGTGTACGCCTTTGATCCCAGTACTCAGAAGCAGGCAGATCTCTTCAAGTTAGAGGACATCCAGGGCTATACAGAGAGAGACCCTGCCTCAAAAAAAAAGAAAAGAAAAAGAAAGAGAGAATACGTAAAATGTATGCATCAAACACCATCTGAAGTTTTAAAAACTACTAGAATTTCAACTAACACTCTTGTTATTCTGTCTTGTGCATTCTTCCATTTAGAATGAAGGCATCTTGGGGCTGGACTCTAGAATGCTCTCTTCACATGCAAAGAACATGTTCCACACCAAGTACCCAAACACCGAAAGGACTGCATACAATGGGTGTGCTGTCCTCCATCTGTCATCCTTGCACTCAGGAGGTGGAGGCCAGAGGGTCCGAAGTTTAAGGCCAGTCTCAGCTACTTAGCAAGTTCAACACTAGTCTAATATACATGAGACCCTGTCACTAATAATTAAATGTAAAAATTAAAATGAAGGCATTTTGTGTGTGTGTGTGTGTGTGTGTGTGTGTGTGTGTGTGTGTGTGTGTGTGTATCAAACTATAAAACTACCTTGAGAGCCTACATTTGGTCAGGCCAAAAAAAAGTTGCAGAATTTTTTTTTAACCTTTTTTGTTGTTATTATTGTTTTGAGACAAGATCTCAAATGTGACTCTGGCTGTCCTGGAACTTACTACATAGACCAGACTGGCCTCAAACTCAAGAGATCTGCCTGCCCCTGGCCCTTGTGTGCGTGCTAGTTCACCTGGCTTCTGTATTTGCTATGCTGGCCTGGAATATACTACTTCAACCAGGTGGCCTCCAAATAGCAGCAACCCTCCTGCCTTTGCCTCCTGAATACTAGGACTGCACACTCTGCTCCAGTGGACCAACTGTCAAGGACCCTACTTAGGACATCTCAGTGGCCATCCATAAGAGGAGCCAAGTCAAGAGTAGGCTTTACAGAAGGCAACTGCCACCAAGCCAACATCTGCAAAACAATCTTTTGGTAAGATACAGCCAGACATTTGAATGAAAAGAGGACATTCAGTGTGCCCCTCCCCAGATACTTGTACCCCATGCTCCATGTAGATTTAGCTACACTATCTAAAGACTATAAATGGAATGTTTCATACCAGAACTCATGTGTTCTCAGTGTCCTTGGTCTGGGTTCCAGAAGGGAATGAAATTCAAGAAAGTAGGATTCTCATACAGTCACCTCAAGAACAGAGGTCTCTCTCAGACACACCCTCAGAAAGACCCGAATCTGTGTTCCAGACACTTGCAAACCAAAGACAGAACTTCACAGACACACAGCACCAGCCCTGGCATTCGCTGGGTCCCTCCACCAAGGTCCGCCATGACAGCCAACAGGTGTCTCCACCAAGCTGAAGTTGGAACTCAGTGGCTCCAGAGTTCACTGAAGGGCCGCAGAGACAGCAGCAATCCCGGCAAAGGCCAGCTCTCTTTCCACAGAATGCTGGCAGAGGGACGTCGCCTCCAGTCTCTGACCCCAGAGGCTAAGCTAAATCAGCAACGCCCTGGACCCCAGATGAAAAGCACCTAAGACACATAATTATAAAAATTTCAGGACAAACAATTCATATCCCAAGGTGGCTTATGCCTAAGAATGTTCTAGAAGCAATGAAATGAAGGATCTTACTGGCCATGAACAGTTCCTTTTTCTTCTATGGTCCTGAGTCAGTTAAAAGCAAGGGAAACCTTGGGGGGTGCAGCCTTGCTGGGCCACAGAGGAAGACAATGCAACCAGTCCCGATGAGACCTGATAGGCTAGGGTCAAATAGAAGGGAAGGAGGACCTCTCCTATCAGGGGACTACGGAAGGGGCATAGGGAAAGGGGAAGGAAGGTGGTTGGGAGGAAACAAGGGAGGGGGGCCACAGCCGGGATACAAGTTACAAGTTAAATAAATTGTAATAAATGATAATAATTTTTAAAAAAAGCAAAGGAAACTAGCAAATTGTCAGGGTCCCCCTGGCTATCTGAGCTTCACGGGCAAATAGGGAATGTGGGTTTTAGCTGGACTCTGGAATTATCTTCAGGGTCCACCCAGGAAGTTCTTGGCATCAAACTCCAAAGACATTTTGCAGCCCCAGCCATGTATTTTCCTTCTGGAAAGGCTGGGGGTTAGTCTACATTAAAAACCAGGGAGGAGAAAAAGATCCCAGGATGTCTGTGGGTACCTTCATTCAGAAATACAGTGGACAGGGGTGGAGGTGGGCTCAGCATTCCCAGCACCATAAAAAAACAGAAATGGACAGGAGGAAACACAATTAACGGAGCTCACAGGGGCCCCAGGATCCCAGACTCTGAACCTCAAGTGTCCACAATAACAAGAGACAGCACTCATTAACCAAGTCTCCCCCAACCCCAAGAGACATACAATAAAGGTCACATTTGGGAGTAGGAAGGTATTACACACAGTGCTCACCCAGCAGCCAATTTAGGCTTCCTTAAAAACTTCAAGTGCTCCCTTCAAAGTTCTGATAAACTTGACTCCATCTGCCTTTATTTAAAAACCTTACAAAAGATGTACTTAAATGGTTGAAAAAAATTAACTTTATGTTCTATGCACGGATAAACTTATCTGACTACATAGCTAAAGGAATATAGATCCGTTGCTTAGAAAATAGGTTTTCCCACTAGCAACACTCTAAGTTCTACATAAGTTCATTCTTCTCCAATGGGTCCTAAGGTAGAACGCAGTGGGAAATAACCATGTGTGGCATTCTTGCTTGGTTTATTGGGAGGGCTGGGGTTTGGTAGGATTGCCGGCTGTTTTCTTCTTTTGTTGTCTTTTGACCAGCTAACACTCTTGGGTGGCCGGGAAGCTGACATTCACTTGTCCTTGGCGCGGTCAAGGTTCTCCAGCACCCTGTTGAGGCGGATGTTGAGCAATCTCACCTGGTTCTCCAGGTGTTCTAGCTTCTCCTCCACGCTGGGGCTGCTGAGGCCACCAGGACTGCCTCGCCAGTAGCCCATGGGGCCCGTCATGAAGTAGATAGCCACCACAAGGCAGAGCGGCAGCACGGCGTGTTCAGGCTCGCCCTCGTGCTTGTGCAGGATGTACACGCAGGACATGGAGAACAGGATGACTCGCACAAGCCAGAAGAAGCGGCCGAACACCAGATGCAGGAGGCTGAAGGTGAAGCCCAAGGTCAGAGACAAGAACCAGTAGGCCAGGAGGACCACACCAACCAGCACCAGGGCTCGGGTGGGACTGCTGGACACGGAGGCTGGGCTGAAGTACTGGGACAGGTTGGACACTGTGAAACAGAGGACAGGGCCAGTTATTCCCATGCAGTCAGGACCTTCTCTGAAAGCAGCTGAGGCAGGGAAACTCAGGGACTGGACGGTGGGCTCCCACCACAACCCAACACAATGAAAGCAAAGATAAGCAACCACTTTGGCCTCTAAACTACCAGAGGAGGTGCAAGTGGTCCCTCAGGATGATCTATCACATCCTGAGTTTAAAACACCTTTCATGGGGCTGGAGAGATGGCCCAGCAGTTAAAAGCACTGGCTCCGTCTTGCAGAAGACCCAAGTTGATTTCCAGCAACCTCATGGTGGTTCACAAACCCCATGTAACTCAAGGGGAACATCGACACGTCCTCAGGTACTGCATACAGGTGGTAAACAGATGTGCATGCAGGCAAAACACCCATAACACGCAAAAACAAGTAATACATCTCAGAAATATTTTCACAAGCTCGGCAGTGATAGCTCACACTTTTAATCCTAGCACTCACGAAACGGATCTCTGTTTGTTGGAAGCCAGCCTGGTCTATAGAGTGAGTTCCAGGACAGCCGGGGCTACACAGAGAAACCCATTTTTATAAAAAAGTTCCAATTCAAATCCTTGTGTTTGCAATGTTTCCTCAGGCTTGTCATGTTGGCTAACATGGGCCATCCTAGCACTTGGGAAGCTGAGGGAAGAGGATCAGGAGTTCAAGGTCATCCTTGGCTCTACCATAGTAAGCCTGAGGCTACTATGGAGCACAAGTGACCCCGTCTCAGAAACAAAGCAAAATTACAACCACAAAAACAAAAATTAACAGCAAATCAGAAATGGTAAAATTGATTTCACCAACTTTGCGTTGGTGGGAGGGAGGGTCCTCATGTAGAACAGGCTGGCCTTGAACTCACAGAGCTCTGCCTGCCTCTGAGTACGGGGAATAAAGGCATGAGCCACCATGCCAGGGTAAAGTTCACCAATTTCTTTTCCCTGTGACATGACCAATAGAACACTTCAATATATCTCAAAGCTTACTGCTATCAAACTGATCTGAGTGGGGGAGTCTCCACTGTAACTAACACCCTGAAAAAACGATGGGAAAGGAAGTGCTCGGAAACTGAGAGCAGCCACCAAGGCAGCCCTCACACTCCTGGTTCTGAGCTTGAGTCACAGTTCCCAGAGGCCTTAGGGTACCCTGCAGGTTATCAAAGCCAAGAGGGAAACTCACACCACAGAGGACAAGGTATTTCGCCCCCCTCCCCCACCAGCAGCTCTCAGGTCATAGCAGTCGGCCAAGTCTCCTCAGTGATACAGCTACCCCGCTCTGCGGTTTCCCAGCCCGGGCTGCATGCAATGCCTTGCAATCAGGTTTATCTCTATAGGCTCGCTGCCAAGGGATGGCAACCCGGAGTTGCACAATCCCAGTAGGTGATGGCTGAAGCAGCCTGGCAGGATTGCACGCAGTTGCAGCGTTTGGGGACGTGTTGGCTCAGCTCGGTCCCAGGGAGACTGAGCACCACACGGCATCCTCTGAGAGCCACACCTGTCACCTGTTCAGCACCCGAGTAGCAAGTTGGGGAGACCTGGTATGAGGCCTTTTGAAGGTTAAACTCAGTGATTCAAGGCTGGAAGTGGTAAAGAGCTGACAACAGTGGTGATGTGTGGGCTCCATCTTGAACTCTGGTCCCACACCTATAAAGAAGGGATGCCCAGGACTAATGAGTTCTGAGAGGATCCTGTTACAAGGCTATATCCGTGTTTTGAGTCTGCCACAACTGATCCCCATACACCAGGTAATTGATGATCATTACATGGTGAAATTCATCTTCCCAGTTCGAGGTCCAAGGACCACACTCCCAAAGTGTGCTCTCCCCTGACTACTGATTTTGTCTTTGACTACGTTGAAACATAGCTCTGAGGATGAGGGCTCTTCGGAGTATCCTTCTGGCCTCTCCTGGCTTCCAGAAACTCCAGGAGGCCCATGGCACCGTCACTACAGGCTCTGCCTCCATTATCTGCACAGCCTTTGAAGCTCCATGGACCACACATTCAACTATTAAAGTTAAAACACTCCTTCCCACCTGTGGTCCTCCATTCCCTGTACCCTCAGCTGGGGGCACGGAATCTCCCCCATACAGTGAGACAGCACCCCAAAACAAAAGCACACAAACAACACCCTGCACAACCATCCCCATACCTACCATCCAGTCCAAGGACTTCTAAGAGCTCCATCCAAACTTTCCATACTGTTTCTACAAACGTGTCCACTCCCTGCACGAACCGCTCGGTCAGCCTGGACAGTAACTGCAGAGATGAGAAGACAGTAAGAAATCAACCGACACACTGTTGTTCCCATCCAGTCAAGCACTGGAGCGTGAGCTCGGGAGAGGGCGCCTCAACAGGAAGACCAGGAGCAGCCGCACGGGCAGCCTCCAGTCAAGCAATGAACAGAAAGTGATAGCTGGTCCACCACCACGTAGAATGTGGAAAGCCCCTCAATCACACACACCGAGAGACACTGGGGTGGGGGTGGCTACACCAAGTGTCTGCACTGCTCTGGCCATTTCTCCTACAGTTCCGCTGGTTTTTGGTCAAGGCTTCTGCTTCCTCAGCCTGACAGTTTCTGTCCTTGAGATGTTTCACAGGGCAGCTGGCTCTCCGAGGGACCTCCAAGGCTCTCCAAGGAAGCCTGAGGCCATGCAGCAAGGGCTCATGTTCTGTCTATGGCCTCAGAGAGTATCATTAGCTCTCCAGCTGATTTGCAAAAGCCAGTAGACCTGGAAATCAGAAATTACAGCTACTGCCTGATTTCCTCTTATTTTCTTTTGAATAAGTGATCGTGCTGGCTAGTTTCATGTCAACTTGGCACAAGCTAGAGTCATAAGAAAGGAGGGAGCCTCAATGGAGAAAATGCCTAAGAGCGGGCTGCAGGCAAGCCCGTAGGGAATTTTCTCAATTAGGGATTGACAGGGGTGGGAGGCCCAGCCCATTGTGGGTGGGGCCGTTCCTGGGCCATGCCTGGGTTCTAGAAAAAAGCAGGCTGAGCTAGCCATGGGGAGCAAGCCAGTAAGCAGCACCCCTCCATGGCCTCTGCATCAGCTCCTACCTCCAGGTTCCTGCCCTACTTCAGTTCCTGTCCTAACTTTCTTCAATGATGAACAGTGATATGAAAGCATAAGCCAAATGTATGCTTTGGCTTACATCTGGGAGGAAATAAATGCTTTCCTTCCTTTGCTTTGGTCATGGTGTCTCATCACAGCAACATTAACCCTAATTAGGATGGTGATATTATATACACCTAGCATAAAACTCAAAGCCAGGGCTGGGATGTAAGTCAGTGGATGATGTTTTCCTAGCATGTATAATATCCCAAGTTCAGTTCTCGGCAGCACATAGACGGGGCAGCTCAAACTGAATGCAACCTCAGTTCCACCAGCTCTGATGCCTTCCTCTGTCCTCTGTGTGTGTGTGTGTGCACAAGTTCACACACACAATTTAATAAAACTAATCTTAAGAAATACAAAAGCCAGGCATAGTGGTGCTTGCCTTTAGTCAGAGCACTAGGGAACACAGGTGGGTGGGCCTCTGTGAGTTCAAAGCCAGCCTGGTCTACATATACATAGTGAGTTCTGGGACAGGCAGAGCTTGCATATTGAGACGCTGTTTCAAGAAACAAAACAACAGCAAACCAATAAGAAAGAAACAAACACACACAGACACACACACACACAGGAAAGGAAGAAGGGAAGGAAATAGCAAGAAAGGCAGCAGTACAGTTTTCAATGGCACCAGCTTCCCCGGTAGTACTGGGCAGGAGTTCTTTTAGGGTAAGCTTCTGACTCATGCTGGATCTTCCAGGCCTTGGTTTTCCCAACCGGAAAATGGGACCAAGAGAGAGGATTCAACACAGGCAGTTGAAAAGGCTCAATATGGTAGCAAGTCAACTGGACCCATTTCAAGTGGCAGGAGTTCAGGGCTGCTGCGGTTGTCCAGTCAAACCAGTGAGTGACAGGATGGCAAGGAGGGGCTCCTGGGAGGTCAAATCCAGACCACAGGTTCTTTCTCAGGCTGGGAACTGGCCAGGAGGGAGAGGACACTCTAGGGCTGATCCCCACCCCTGCCCTTTCAGCCTCGGCTGGAGAACATGCAGGCCCCTCTGGCAAAGCTAGACATGGAAGGAGACCCATGGACTTTATAGAAATGATAGGGTTCAGATGCATTCTCCTAAATTTGAATGTGAAGCCCCTAGTCCCCAGTGAGGGAACATTTAAAGACAGGGTCTTTCTGTTTTGTTTTGTTTGAGACAGGGTTTCTCTGTGTAGCCTTGGCTCTCCTACACTGGATTTGTAGACCAGGCTGGCCTTGAACTCAGAGATCCGCCTGCCTCTACCTCCCCAAGTGCTGCAATTAAAGGCCTGCACCACCAGGCCCGGCTGAAGACAGGGTCTTTCAAGAAGTGATCTGGCTACAATGAGATCACTAAGGTAGGCCAAGTCTACTAGGGCAAAGATAGTGTGTAGATAGGCTTGTCATCCCAGCTGGTCAGGAGGCTAAGGCAGGTGTGTGTGTGCGCAGCGGAGTGGAGGTGGTGGAGGGGGTGTCTCTGCCAACACCAGGGCTGGCAGAGTAAGGATCCAAAGATCCCGTGATCCAGCTGGGGCCAGAAGGAAATCCGGTTCAACAAGACTCAGTAGCTGCTATTGACTCAAACTTCGAGAGTCTGACACCAGGAAGTTTATTTTAGGCATATTTAAGTACAGCACAATTTGTGGGGGAGGGGAAGGTTTCCTGGAGCAACACAATCCCATGCCCCCAAGGAGGCATAATAATTGCATCAAAACTCTTCTCAAAGTACACGTCAACGTCACTTCTTCCATGAAGATGGGTTCTAAACATGGGCTTCATGGGTTATCCTTTTTTTCTTTTTCTTTTTTGCTTTTGGAGACAAGGTTTCTGTGTAGCCCTGACTGTCCTGGAACCTGCTCGGTAGGTCAGGTTGTCCTGCAACTCACAGAGATTAGCCTGCCTCAGCCTCCCCAAGTGCTGGAATTAGAGGTGTGTGCCACCACCACCCAGCCACCTGTGTTTTCTTAAGGGCCTAGGGGAAGATCTGGTGTTGTCTCGGTCACACAGCTGGCACAAAGGTCATCTGGGCTACCAAGTACCTCTGGTCCTGTTTGTGGGAGCCTGGGGGAGCCTCTGGCCATATGGATAATGCAGGGGTCATCTAGACTATTAGCCACCTCCAGTCCTGATTGTGGGAGCTTAGGGAGAGCCAAGTATGGCCTGGACATATACCCTAGCACCTCCATTCCCAGGCCTCTAGGCAGAAACAGGTTATACACCTTTTCCCTTAAAGAGACAAGGCTGCATGTTTAACATTCTTGGTTTCCCTAGTGCTTATCTGTGAGGGCACGGCCCTCTGTGCTCCCAAACAGGCAGAAGACTGCAAGTTCAAGGCCTGCCTTGGGCTAAAGAATGACCGCAGACCAACCAGGACATCTTAGTGAGACCCCCTCATCTCAAAATTAAAACAGTTAAGGGGTATAGCTCAGGGGTAGAATGTTTGCCTAGCATGTATATGAGGCCCTGGGTCTCAGTACAAAAAAAAAAAAAAAAAGCCAGGTGGTGGTAGCATATGCCTTTAATGCCAGCATTTGGGCTGCAAAGGCATTTGGAGGTCGGTGAGTTCGAGGCTAGCCAGGTCTACAGAGTGAGATCTAGGACAGCCAGAACTACACAGAGAGACCCTGTCTCAAAAAAAAAAAATTTAAAAAAAAGGAAGAGAGAGATAACACCAGAGACACACAGAGCAGAGCACAGCCACCAGAACAAGGAGGGCAGGAGAACTCTGTGGAATGGGGTTCTCTCCTCCCACCTTTTTGCCGGTTTGGGGATTGAACTCAGTTCACTGTGCATCTAAGGCAAGTGCCTTACCCACTGAGCCACCTCTCAAGGACAGCTTTCAAATCCTGATCCTCCTGCTTCTACCCATTCAGTGCTGGGATTACCCAACATGCCTGGCTTTATTTTTTTAAAGATTAGGTCTCATGTATCCTATTTTTCTGGTGTTTTGGAGAGACCTATCTTAGTCTCTGTCCCTCTCTCGATGAGCTGGCCTCACACTTTCAGCGACAACCCCTCATCCCCCCACCCCCATCTCCTGAGTGCGGAGATGGCAGACATGCACTACTGCTCCTGGCTGCTTTTTATCTCAGCCTTTCTCCCACCTCCATATATTTCTCTCCAGGGGATCTGATGTCCTCTTCCAGCACCCATGGGCATGTGAACTCACATGCTCAAGTCCACACACAGACACACATATTAAAAGTTATTTAAAAAATAAAATAAAATTTTTAAAAAGGTGGATTGTTTGAAAAATGACGGCCATGGCTCAAGCTTACACACACACAAATACACAAACACATACACAGTGAATAAAATACTTCCATGCAAGCAGCCACAGAAGAAAAGTTCTATAAAAACAGAAAAGACCAGCTGTTCAACTCCAGACCCCTAGAAAAGACAGAACCAGAGGCAGGATGGGGGGAGGGAGGGCACAGGATGGGACACAGGACGATCTCTTCTTCCCAAGCCAGCCTGGTCTACAAAGGACAGACAAGGCTACACAGAGAAACCTTGTTGTCTCGGAAAAACAAAAACAAAACAACAACAAAAAGTGAACATTTAGAATATATGGAGACAGAGTTTACATGGTACAGCTCACAGAACAACAGGGATGGAGCCTCTCACGTCCAGAGGGCAACTTGGTCACATCTCTCTACACTAAAATTTCAAAAGAGGGAGCTGCAGAGGTGGCTCCGCGGATAACGCCCTTGCTGTTCCTGCAGCCAACATGCGCTCAGTTGCCAGCACCCATACCAAGCAGCTCACAAACACTGGCAACTCCAGCTCCAGGGCATTAGCGCCTCTCCTGACCTCTGTGGGTATCTGCACTCATGTGCACAAACAAATAAAAATAAGGAGGCAGTGGTACTGTACTCCTTTAATCCCAGCACTCAGGAGGCAGAAGCAAGTGGATCTCTGAACTCGAAGTCAGCCGGGTCTACACAGAGAAATCCTAACTCATAAAACCATAAACCATAATAATAATAATAATAATAATAATTAATTTTTTAAGTCATCCTTCCTAACATTCATAGAGCCCTGGGTTCCATCCCAAGTATGCCATGAGCTGGTGTGGTGGCTCATGTCTGAAAACCCAGCACTTAGAAGCTGGGGGTAAGAAGTGTCAGGAGTTCAAAGCCAGCCTAAGATACAGGAGACCCTGGAGAGTGGGAGAGGGAAGGGGAGAGAGAGGGGGGGAGAGAGAGAGAGGGAGGAAGGAAGGAAGGAAGGAAGGAAAGAAAGAAAGAAAGAAAGAAAGAAAGAAAGAAAGAAAGAAAGAAAGAAAG